TTAAAAAAAAAAACAAATCACAGATATAGATCGTTATTACCTATGACACCCCGGTAGTGTAACAGTGCTTAATCAGCCATGCTTCTGTGGCTTGGGATCACCTCAGTAGCCAGCCTCAGGAACTCAGGACAGTCATTATGGTCAAAACGATCATCTGCGGGATGATAAACGTATTTATGGAATAATGATTATATGGGGTGGGGGGAGGGAATCAAGATATTCCAATATCAAGTTTCTTTTTATACAAGCTTGAATTTGTAGAAAGAAGTGCTGACTACAATTCTTGAGGCAAGAGAGTACTGCAAAGAGTAAAGTTGTACTGTGAGGTTTGAATAGTCACTTCCTGAAATAAACAAAAATGCCACCATTTAATGTGAAAAATTATGAAGAATACTTAATCACTATTTAAAGTTTTTATGCAGCTGCGTGCAAAGTGCAGATATGCACTTTAGTTTTCTGTCTTTAAAGCTGATTTAATATGCAAATTAGGTGAAAAGGAGGCAGAGCACATCTTAAGGGGAATTCAACTCCTTCCCACATGGCAGTGGAAAAAACATGGCTCCAGAATAGAAGGGATGGAATCGCTTTTAGGCAGACAAGTTCCAAAGGTGCTTTGAGCTTTAGTAGAAATTTAGGAGTAAAGCTAATCATTTGCCTCTCCACTGTATCAGGTTGGGGGAGGGGGTGGGTGGAGAAAACAACCCATGTCGTAACAGACAGTATTTAGAGGGTTATCTGTGGAACCACAAAGCTAGGATTTTCCTCCTCAGGTTGTCGCCTGCCTGTGCGCCCAGAAACCTCTGGAAACATACCATGTCAGCATAGGATAAAACAGACAAAGAACAGCAGTGATTCTCAACCAGGCTGCCATACAATATTAGTACTGCTACGTCTGCGAACACTTACACATGATAAAGCCATTACAGGATAAGCATAGAGATTTCAAATAGGAATCCATAGTGTCAAAAACATTCTGAGTTCTTTGCAACAGAAGAACTGCTCAACTATCTTTTCCATATACAAAAGAATGAGCAAATGCCAAGAACAAGCATTTTAAAACTTGCCCCGCCAGGAACTGAACTGGTTTGTATGGCATTTGGAAGCACATTTTTTTCATTTGGATGGTATGCATTTTGAGATTTCTGAGCTATCAATGCAACGTGTCAGCATTTAAGCATTCCCTACTTACCATCATGTTGTGAAAGGCTGGTAAACTGTATCTTTGCCTGTCTGCGTTCCAAGGCCAATCGACGGTTTCTCTCCATTCTTTGTTGCTGCTCCTCCGTTAGAGTGCTACTTGAGCAAGAATCAAATTCTTCCTTCGCATTTTCAGAAAAAATGTCTAAATCTTCAGCAACCATATTGAGCCTGTTACTTTCCCCTCTGCCATCTGTTTTAATAAGTAAAATTTATCAGCACTTTTGAACCCCATATTTTGCTATTAGCACACCTAGAAAGGCAAAAAGTTTTAATATACATCTAAGATTGTAAAAAACGTGTTAGCAAATAGATTTGAAAATGGTATTGGTAACTGAAAGTTGTTCACCGCTTTAAACTGTAGCTAGCCAGCAGCCTTCTCTTTTCTAGATCTTTGTAGATGATAGTCAAAGCTAGTGCTGACCAGAGACTCAAAATGTATACAATGCAACATTAAAGGAGTTCTGAGTGTAACATACCTTTTCTTTTGGCTGCACTAAACCGATATCCATCAGCTATGCTTGAAGGGTAGGAGAAGAAGCACCCTGTTCAAATTTGCTGATGACACTAAGATGTGGGGGGATGTGGGCACGCTAGAAGGAAGAAGCAGGCTACAATCAGACCTGGACAGGTTACAAGGGTGGGCGGATAAGAATAGGATGGGTTTCAACACAGACAAGTGCAAGGTGATGCACCTGGGGAGGAACAACCGGCACCATACCTACAGGTTAGGGAACTCCCCTCTTGTCAGCACAGAGGCGGAAAAGGATCTTGGAGTCATCATTGACTCCAAGATGAACATGGGTCGGCAGTGTGGGGAGGCAGTTAGGAAGGCCAACCGTACCTTGTCATGCATCCACAGATGCATCTCGAGCAGGTCCAGAGAGGTGATCCTCCCCCTTTATGCGGCACTGGTCAGGCCGCAGTTGGAGTACTGCGTCCAGTTCTGGGCGCCGCACTTCAAGAGGGATGTGGACAGCATAGAGAGAGTCCAGAGGAGGCCACTCGCATGATCAGGGGACTGCAGGGCAGGCCCTATGAGGAGAGACTACAGGACCTGAACCTGTTCAGCCTCCACAAGAGAAGGCTGAGGGGGGATCTTGTGGCCTGTTACAAACTGGTCAGGGGGGATCAGAAGGCGTTGGGGGAGTCACTCCCCCGAGGAGTGACCAGGAATAACGGTCACAAGCTACCAAAGGGTAGATTTAGGTTAGACATCAGAAGGCACTATTTCACGGTCAGGGCGGCTAGGGTCTGGAACCAACTTCCAAGGGAGGTGGTGCAGGCTCCTACCCTGGGGGGTTTTAAGAAGAGGTTAGATGAACACCTTGCTGGGGTCGTTTAACCCCAGTACTCTTTCCTGCCGTGGCAGGTGGTCGGACTAGATCTTCCGACCCTAGAAACTATGAAACTAAGAAAAAACTAAAGAGAGAAATAAATTTCTTGTAGCACTGACCTGTCATGCTGATTTTCCCTTTGGTGCATGTAAAAAACCCCCGAAAAAGGGCCATCTGGGAACATTTCAACTCTAACTGAATCTGTGTCCTATTGAACAAACTAATAATTATAAAACCACCTCTAAAACCTAAAAGCAATTAGCTACTTCAGAACTCCCAAAGAATATTTACAGTCACAACTGCCATATTTTACAGATATTCAGGGCAGAAGCAGAGACGGTCAGGGACTTGCCCAAAGGCACAAAGGGTTAAAATTCAGAAGCACCATGTTCCATTACAGACAAACTCTCCTGCCTCTAGCAGGGGGAAAATTGGATGCATTTCCAAAATGCTGATGGGTCAAGTACGTTTGGATCTCCACAGCACTAAACCAGGGTTGCTCAACCCCCAGCCTACAGGCCAGGTCTGGCCCCTGGTGCCATATCTTTCAGCCCAGGGGGCTCCTCCTTGCAGAGCTATGGGGACACCTGTGGGCCCTGGTCCTCTGCACTAGATTAGGCACACAGGGCCTGATGCTGGCCCAGCAGGGGCAGCACAAGGCCATTTGTCTGGCCCACAGAACCAAAACTGTAAGCATCACTCCTGTAAACAAAAAGTAAACTTACAAAAGTCTTTTGAAAACTAAAGGTTACAAATTAAAATTACTCTTTTCCTTTTTAATACTAGTTTTACAAATTCTGAGGCATTTATCAGAGAGGTCTACAGTGCCAAAATTGGAGTCTCTCAAATACAACTAACATGGTTTTAAATAAGAGTGTATGGAGCCATCGCACAGGAAGTCTGATAACTAGACAGACCCTGTCGGCAGGAACCATTTGTTTTACTGTACGTGGCTGATTAAGGTTGCATTATGTTACTGATAAATGCAACCGATACTTAATGCAGCCACACCAATTCGTACACTGGCATACAGGTTTTGTGCTTGTGCCCTGCATGAAAGGATATTCTCTAACCACTAGACTAGAAGG